TGTCCATCAGCTGATGAATGGATAATCAAAATGTAATACATTCATACAATGGAATATTATTCCACCATAAAAAGCAATGAAGTGTTGATATATACTGCAACATGGATGAAACTTGAAAATTGCTAAGTGAAAGAAGCCAGACTGAAAAGGATACATATTGTGTGATTCCATTTATATGAAATGTCCACGATGGGTAAATCCATGGAGACAGAAAGTATATTAATGTTTGCCAGGGATTGGGAAAAGGGAAGTGGGGAGGTGACTGCTTAATGAGTATGGCATTTCTTTGCGAGGTAATGATTATGTTCTAGAATTAGATAGTGGTGATGGCTGCATAACATTTACACTAAAAATCACTGAATTGTACACTTGAGAGCGTTTTAAATGGTGAATTTTATGTAATGTGAATTTTATCTCAATTTCTTTTTTTAATGTAAGATAAAAAGTTAATGGCAGGTCATGATGTTTGCTGGTGGAATCAGTTTTGCCAACAATAAAAGGAATCCAACTCTTCATTGTACATCACAAGGGCTCTGTTATTAACCCTGTTGTGACTTGATCACACACAGCTCTCTTCAAAAGACTGTAAGCTTTATGAGGGCAGGGACAGTCTGGATCCCAGAAGTCTATTACAATGCCAACAAAACGCTGAACACTATGGGGCCTCAACCCTTAGAGAAGCCACAGAGACAGCCAATCAACAGCTGATGAAGCGGGGGACTCATCTCAAACACATGATTGCACAGAAAAGCAATCGAATTACTTCTTTCTCCTCCTTTCCTCCAAACTAAAGGACTGAAAAAAATCTCCTCCCTAGTCGGGTACAATGAATGCCAAGGTTACCGAAGGGAAATCAGGTTGATGATTGAAATGTGAAGAACCATCCACTCCAAGCACGGGGAGCTGGTAAAAGCAGGATCAGCCATTTCCATGGAGGAATCAGGCAGCTTTTCAGAGGTTATGATGTCAGAGCTTGGAATGCTCATTTCAGAGCAAGTTTGAAAGAAATAAAAAGCCAACACGGTATTTCATCACCTGACATTGTCAACCGTTTCTCCTCCGGGCTTGGCTAAGCTCCCCTCTCAGATTCTCAGACACTTAACTCACCTTTTCCTGCACCACAGTGAAGATACATCCTGGGGTGTGGGCTAGAGTTTCAGCCACATGGAAATCCCTGTTTCTCACTCAGCCTGGGAGCTTTCAGGTTCTGTACCTGGTTCAGTCGCACAGCCTGTGCAGTTCTCCAACCACACCTGTGCCCGGGGCTTTGGCTGAGGCCGTGCCTTCTTCCAGCATCACCGTTCCAGTGGCTGACCGCGACTCCTCTATGACTCAGTGGGGATTCCTCTCCGGAGGGAAGTCCTGCCGGGTCCCAGGCTGAATGAGTCCACCCCTTGTCCATGCTCACAGCCTCCTGTGGTCAATGTCATAACCCGCCCACTCCCTGCCTTTTCCCTCACCAGACTATGAGCGCCGTGGAAGGAAAAGAGCTCTGAGTTAACGGCCTTGATTGAAATCGATAATGCGCAAACCCTAGAGTATGTTTCCTCCTCTGTAAAATGATGGGTTGGACCAGATCATTCATGTGGTTTGAATGCAGCCTACAGACCTACTTGGCCCACCCATTATTTATTATATTTAAGCAATAACTTTTAAGTCAGGAACATTTATCTTAAAATCTGGATTTCTGTTCTTCTGAAAACTCAGGCAACTTGGCAGCCTTGGGCCCACAGTTGTGGATGGAGCAATCAGCCCCTCTCTGTAGGTGGGGCACAGAGAGGGCCTTCACTCACTTCGGCTTCTGTAGGCAGTGGACTTGAGCCTGATGGTAGAATCTAGACCAGCGGTGGGCAAACTTTTTGACTCGAGGGCCACAATGGGTTCTTAAACTGGACCGGAGGGCCGGAACAAAAGCATGGATGGAGTGTTTGTGTGAACTAATATAAATTCAAAGTAAACATCATTACATAAAAGGGTACGGTCTTTTTTTTTTTTTTTTAGTTTTATTCATTTCAAACGGGCAGGATCCGGCCCGCGGGCCATAGTTTGCCCACAGCTGATCTAGACTCTAGATGCCTTCTCCAGCTCCAAGATGAGGCTCTGCCGATCCATGATTCAATTTCTTTTCCTCTCCTCCATCCAGTCAACATCATCACCATTGTTGTGTTCATTTTGGTGAGAGCCAGTGAACTAAGACATTCAACTCTCCTTGTTTTGTTTTAGCTTCCCTTGTATTTTTGTTGTTGTTATTCATCCTCACCCGAGGATATTTCTTTATTGATTTTTAGAAAGAGTGGAAGGGAGGGACAGAGAAACACTGATGTGAGAGAGACACATTGATTGGTTGCCTCCTGCAAGTGCCCTGACAGGGGCCAGGGATCGAGCCTGCAACCGAGGTACATGCCCTTGACCGAAATCAAGCTCACAACCCTTCAGTCCACAGGCCAGCGTTCCATCCACTGAGCCAAACTGGCTAGGGCTCCTTGTATTTCCGCCCCCCACCCCTCTTTTGTCTTTCCTTGTATTTTAAGGCAGCAACCACAAGCCTACTCGGTTATTTCCGAAACAATTAATCACCAGATACAATTGAACCATCCTTAGAATAATTTATGCCTGCTCTATAAAAAGCCCTGCCACTTTTAGATTAACAGAACACCCTCCTCTTTCTCATCATGGAACTAAGAACAGCAAACTCTGATTTCAAAAGTGCATTTCTAAGGTAATCCAACTGAACACAGGCTTCTTAAAAGCACATCAAATGCTTGAGCAAATCCTACCTATATATAACCATTTAAGCAATTTCAAATACACTTCTGTTGCATAATTGCTTGAGGACTTGGGTCATAAAACATGCTGCTGCGAACTTAAGCGAAATCACCGCAGATTATCACTTGTAAGAAAAATGTCCAGTTGTAAGGTAGACCTGTCATCAGCTTCTCAATGCATTTCCACCTGGGCATTTCCCACCAACAGGTAAAGCACCCAGCCATCTAGCTGGGCCCGAGCAGAATGGCTCGTAATGCTGGAGAGTTTGAGCTTAGTCAAAGCAGAAGTCATTATGTTTCTGTATATTAGTGAAAAGGGGCCATTGTTTTCCTCTGGCAACTTGCTAATCTGCCTGTATTCCCTACTGACAGAGTTTAGAACGGTGGTTCTCATCCCTGGCTGCACATGAGAGATATCCAAAGGTTTTTATTATTTTTTTAAATATTTTATTATTTATTTAAATATTTCTATTGATTTCAGAGAGGAAGGGAAAGAGGGGGGGGAGAGAGAGAGAGAGAGAGAAAGAGAGAGAGAGGAACATCAATAATGAGAATCATTGATTGCCTGCCTTTTGCACGCCCCACACTGAGAATTGAGCCCGCAACCCTAGCATATGCCCTGATTGGGAATTGAACCATGACCTCCTGGTTCATAGGTAGATGCTCAACCACCGAGCCAAGCCGGCCAGGCACACCCAGAAGGTGCCCCCCGACCCACCCACCCAGAAAGTTTTTAAAGAAAATGCCAAAGTCCAGACACCACTGCAGACCAATACAGTTAGACTTCTGGAGAGGAAGAGATTAGCATTTGAACGGGTAGGCTGAGTAAAGATTGCCCTCACCAAATTCAGGTGGGCATGATCTAACTTACCAATGGCCAGCATCGCACAAAAAGGCTGAGGAGGCGTGAATTTGCTCTCCTTGCTTGAGCTGGGTCATCCATCTTCACCTGCCCGCAGACACCGGCACTCCCAGATCTCAGGCCTTCGGGCTCAGACTGGGTCTCTAGCTTGCAGAGAGTGGATCCTAGTTTACATGTGACAATTCCTATAAAAACGTCCTCTTTTATGTATCAGTCTATGTATATCCTATTGGCTCTGTTTCTCTGGAGAACCCTGACTAATACAGGCCGTTCCCAAGACAGAGCAGGGCCTCTGTGGAGTTTTGTTATCAGATATGGACACAGTGGGGCACCAGGAGGCTGCCCAGACCTCAAAGTGTCCTACTTAAACGTTGGCATCTCTCCAAAATACTGCATTCACAGAGAGACACTAAAAGGACGGAGGAAGATGCCATTCGCCCCCATCCCTACATGTAGATGCCACACCCTCCCGCGCTGCTGGGAGTGATCATTGGTATAACCATTTCAGAACACTGTGACAGTATTTTCTAAAACAGAACCCACCTCTGCCCTATCCAAGGGAAGTGAGGGAAAATGGCCACCAAAAAGCACATACGAGAATGTCTCCGCCAGTTTGGGCTGCTCTAACAGAAAGGCGATAGACTGGGTCGCTTATAAGCAATGGAAATGTATCTCTCACAGTTTTGGAGGCTGGAAAGTCCAAGTTCAAGGTGCCAACAGCTTCCTGCTTCATAGGCAGCTACCTTCTTTCTGTGTCCTTCTATGGTGGAAGGGGTAGAGGATCTCTCTGGGGTCTGTTTTTTTATTTTTTAATATATTTTTATTGATTTCAGAGAGGAAAGGAGAGAAAGAGAGAGATAGAAACATCAGTGATGAGAGAGAATTACTGATTGGCTGCCTCCTGCACACCTCCTACTGGGGATCGAGCCTGAAACCTGGGCATGTGCCCTGACCGGGAATCCAACAGTGACCTCCCAGTTCATAGGTCGATGGTCAACCACTGAGCCATGCTGGCCAGGGTGGGGTCTCTTTTATAAGGGCACGAATTTCATTAATGAGGGCTCCACCCTCATGACCTAATTATTTCCAAAGACCCCACCTCCAAATGTCACCACATTGAGGATTAGATTTCCAAGTAGAATTTGGCAGTGGGGGCATAAACATTCAGACTATAGTAAACAGTCACACCAGTTTATTCATAATAGCTCCAAACTGAAAATAACAGATGCCCGTCAGCAAGAGAATGGGTAAATAAATTGTGCGTATTCACATAATGGAATGCCACATAACAATAAAAATAAACCACTGCTACAAGCAACAACATGGATGAATTCAGACATTACATTCAAGGAAAGAAGCCAGACACAAAAGAATATATATGCTGTATTTATTCCATTTATATGAAATTCAAGAACAGCAAAGCCAACCAATGGTGATAGAAGTCATGATGGTGGTTACCTCTTGGTGGGTGTTGACGTCCAAAGCATATGAGAGAACCTTCCAGGTGCTATAGAAATCCAGACCTGGATGGTGGTTACAGAGGGGTATACATATGTAAAAACCATCAAGTTATATACATAGGATAGTGCACTTTAGCTCAATAAAAATGAAAAAAATAATTATATTCCTTTACCAGATTCTACTGTCTGTGTGAGCTATGAATGAATAAATCCAGTAACTGTCTTGGGAAAAGCACACATATTGCATTATATTATTTTTTTGTGCTAATGGCCTTAATTTTAAAAATGTACACATTTGAAATGCACCACAGTTGACATTTCTTTATGGTTTAATAAAGCAAAGCTTCAAGAAAGGGCAAAGGTCTGGCCCTCTCCAGACCTCTGGGAGGCCCCGTCATGGACAAAGCCACAGGATGAGTGAAGATGGCAGGAGGGCGCTCAGGACTCCCAGCGTTCGGCCTGAAGATGGGCGGGGTTTGGCCAAGGAGCGCAGGAAGGTGGCCTCAGGGTGCCCAGTCCAGGCACTGAACCCTGTCTGCCTCCTGCCTGGAAGAAAGCTGCAGCTGTCCACGGCCTTCTCACGCCCAGGGGCACCGCTTCTTGTCAAGGCTTTCAGGGTGTCCCCAGGCACACTGCCCGGGCCCAGGTGGTTTTGTCATTGTGAGAACAGTCTCAGCAAAGAGGCCCGGGGAGCTGGAGAAGGCCAGGAAAATGCCCAAACCGGGTAATCAGCGCTGACTTCCTGGGCATGTGTCCCCCGCAGTCACACGCAGAAGGAAGGACCCCACAATCAGTTAATACTCCGCTGTCATCGTTATGAAATCCTTAATTGTTGAGCAAGGGGCTCACATTTTCATTTTCCTCCATCCAGCTGATGGCTGGTCCTGGAAGTAGCAGAGTCTGGCGTTAACAGCTCAGTGTGCAGAATCCAGGTTCCAGTCCTTGGTCATCTCCTTGCTGGTTGGGGCCCCTTTGGCAAGCTGTTTTACCCTGGTACCTCCATTCCCTGTCTTTAGGGGGTGGGTGGCAATACCCCCTGAGAAGTTGTTAGGAGAATTAAATCAGTCTTCAGTAGCAGGCCTGGCACAATATAAGTGCTCAATAAAATTTCGGGATTAGCGTTCAGGTGATTGAAGGATTATTGAGGCAGAAGTCTCGCCCGGCCCTGCCTCCGTAACGCCTGTTCTAAAGGCAGGAGCTGGAGAAGGAAGCTTTAGGGTTGACTCTCCCGAAACAGCAAATGCTTCCTCTTTGGCATTAGGTCAAATGGCAGCTGCACTATTACACCCCAGGAGAAACGCGTCCTCGTCAAGTCACAAAAGCCTGGTTGCAACCACAGAGGGAACAAAAAATAGTCTGCAATCCTGAAAAAGCCCACAGCCCACAGCATCAGGCACACCTCTGATTGGGGTGGGGGGGGGGGTCACTGGAGCACGGCCAACAGGTGTGGTTATCTTGGATCCTCTATGTGGCTTCCGTAAATAGACTTTTGTTTTTTAAAAAAATTGACTGACTGTGGAAAAACGGAAACTCGAGGAGCGGCAAGAATACTTTTTCTCTATATTCCTTCCCATGAAATTGACAGGCCTGAGAAATTTAAGGACCCCGCTGTTCACACATTAGTTCACCTGTTGCAGCCTCAGTTTCTGCCCGTGTGTAAGGGAAGTCCACAGCGGAGATCAGGGAGGCAGACGCTGGGGTCAGACTCCAGGTGTGTCTCAACACCATCACTTGCCAGTTGTGTGGCCTGGGACCAGCCGCTGGGGCTCTCTGTGCACACTTCCTCATCCACTTATGGGGAAAATAATGGTCCTTACCTCCCTGGATTCTTGTGAGGATGAAGCGAGATCATATATGCAGAGTATGTAGAATGGTGTCTAGCACACAGTAAGGGCTCAATAAATGTGAGCTGCAGACCAGGAGCCTACAGCACCCAATCATGCAGAATCATAGGAGTCCACAGTAGTAGCTGCTGTTATGGTTGTTCAGGCTGCCCAGGACCTTTGGTCTTGTGAAGGGTCCCTTCTGAGCCTCCAGAAGTTATACGGCTCATGCAGAACACCAGCGATGTTCGAGGCCTAGGAATGGCCTCAACCTAACAGATCTTTTCAACCTTCTGAGGGCAGCAACGACAGAGCTCAAAGTCCTGTTCATGTCAGAGTGGGAAAAGCTGACCTTAGAGGTGAGTCCACATTCCTCGTTAATATATGAGGAACCGAGGCTCAGAGGATGCCAATGACCTGCCCAAGGTCACACAGAAAAATAGGGGCTGAGCTGGGAAGACAGCTCAGGGTTCATGCTTTTCTGAGCCCTACCCTGCTCCTACGGCTCGTCTGCCAAACTTCCGGCTCCTCACACAGCCCACCCCACCTCTCCATCTCCCCAGTGAGCTTTCCATCAGGTGACGGGCTCATCTAATTCTTGGCCACATCCTGCTGAAGACCCATTTTTCTTACTGAATCAGGCCGCCAGTAGGTCCTGAAAGCCCCATAAGTCTTCTATGGATGAGCAGATCCCTTAATCTATTATTCTACAGTCCTATTTATATATATTTATCCATATGGCTATATAAATAGGGCTCTGAGACATATACGTGGCAGGTTATTGCTGTAGCATAGTTGTTCTCCCCAAGAGGAAAACAAAAATGATGTATGGCTGAGGCTCTTTTCCATGCAGAAAGCTCCGGTCTGATTTATGAAGAGCGAGGTTGCAGCCACACGCTCTGAAGGTAGAGAATCTATTGCAAAGTTATCTAAGAACAGGACACTCTCAGCTCCGGATGCCAACAGGCAATGGAGGGTGTGGCAGGAACTCAGAATCTTAGAGCAGTTGCTTGTAGGCACTTGCCATATCCCATTCCATTAAGTGGGATTCCTTTGGTTGCAAATTTAAGCAAAAAAAGGGAGTTTGTTAGAAGGATCCTGGGTCTCCAGGAACTGAAACAGAGGAATGTGGCTGGACCACCAGCATCTCTCATTCTCTCTCTACACCCACGACCACCAGCATCTCTCATTCTCTCTCTACCCCCCACATCTCTCTCCCCCCCTCCCTCCCCACACCCTACCCCCCATCTCTGTTTCTCTCTGCCTTGGCTGTTCTCTCTCCCTCCAGCATGACACTCTCCATATGGAAGAAAACGTGGCCAACAGCTTCCAATTTTGCCTCTTAGGGCTTCCACTCACAGACTTGGTCCCAAGCACAGGAAACCGTGAAACAGAGCCCATGTGCCCTGCTTGGTCCAAGGGTCATGAGCAAGGTCATGAGAGACCAGAGCAGCTGCTGCAGGCATCGTATGGAGGGAGGAACCGGGCGTAGGAACTTGTCCTATGCCTTTGGCCTAGTCACTGTGTGAACTCAGAAAAGGCCCTCCACGCTCTGGGCTCCAGCATCCTTAAGGGTAAAATGTGGCTAATGACCAGCTCCGTAAGGCAGAGACCTGAGATGGTTTTATTCCCTGACGCAGCCCCAGGACCTAGTCAATGCTGTACACATGGTGATGCTCCATGAATAGCTATTGAATACATAAGTGAATATTATAGAGCTCCCTTGTAAGATCGTTGGGAAGATTAACTGAGATGGTAAGAGCTAACATGTAGAGAGCACTGAAGTACAAGGCACTGTGCTATGCATACACGTTAATATACAAAGTGCATTTAGAATCATGCCTGAGGTGTGTGTGCACATGTAGGAGAAAACTGGGGTCCCAGAAGTTAAACACCTCGCCCGAGGCCACACCCCTAGTAAATGGCAAAAGCAGGATGGATGCAAATCCACGGCTCTCTGAAGCCACTATGTTGCCCTCCCCATCACAGACACTCTCTAGTCCACCCGATTCCGTGGGTGGAGAAGAGAGACCTATGAACACATCTGGGCTATGGAGTGTGCATCCACACGTGTAGAAAGCACTGTGAATGCTTCATAAACTGAGCAACTACGCTGATCACCAATGCATGTACGGCCACTGCAAAATGCATTCTGTGCCATGGCACTTAATGAAATACAAATTCATTGTAAATCATCCCTGAACTCACAGTGGCCCAGGATCATGTCGTATTTTCTCAATTATCTAATACTGCAAGAACATCTGTTTTTAGGGGTCGTGAAAATTTAGTTTTGAGTACACTCAGATTAGGAACTTTAGCGAGGCCCACCTCCTCACGTCACAGATGAGATGCAGACTGGGGGGTGGGGGGTTGGGAGTGGGAAGTGACTGGCCTAAGGCTGAATACCACAGAAACGGGGGATACTGCCTCCTTCCATCCTGACCACAACAGGTACTGGTGATGCTGGGGAGCCACACTGCTGCAGAGGGGGTACAATTCTTCAAGAGCAAGTTGGCATTTCTAGTGATGTTGAGGGGGTACACACCAATCACCCAGCAACTGCACTTCTAGGATTATGCCCTAGAGAAGCAACATACATGAATAAGGAGACATATTCGAGATAGTTCATTGGAGCTTTAAAAAATGGAAATAGCGTAAAGAAATAATTTTTAAAATTTTAAAGAATGGAAATAGCATAAATGACCATCAAGAAGAGAAGAGAGCCCAGCCAGCATGGCTCAGTGATTGAGTGTCAACCTATGAACCAGGAGGTCACGGTTCGATTCCCGGTCGGGGCACATGCCCAGGTTGCGGGCTCGATCCCCAGTGTGGGGTGTGCAGGAGGCAGACGATCAATGATTCTCTCTCATCATTGATGTTTCTATCTCTGTCTCTCTCTCCCTTCCTCTCCAATATCAATAAAAAATATATTTTTAAAGAGAAGAGAGTGAAACATTCGATGACTTTTGATTAGCAGTTAGAAAGAATAACCCAGTTGCACCCAGCCATAGGAATAAATCTTGTGATGGGAAAAACGAGGTTGTCTTGCGGTGAGACCTTAGTCTCATCTCCTCCCTAGGCCTCAGTTTCTTCATCTGTAAAATGGGAACTGTGACTAGACCAGTGGTTTTCAAGTTGTGTGTGGCAAAGCCCCAGCAATGCTTCACGGGTTCTCCAAAAGCATTTGATTCCAGTGTCACCTTTCAAACATATTTTAAACTCTTTGACAATGCAGGGCAG